TCATACACAAATTTACATTTCAAATAGAAATATTAACTTTCATAAACAGCTATTATTTAAAAAAAACAATTTAAAGTGTTACTTAAAACAATTGTACAAACTCACCATTGTTCATGTCGGTGTGAGGAATATCTGTTCATATGACACGAACAAATGAAATAAGAATAAATTTACTTTACACCGGTTTAAATAGAGGATCTTTTTACCTGTTCGTATAACAATTTCCGTTTCCAACTGTCAGATATTATAACTATCAACTAATTATTGAAGGCTTTATAATTCAGTCAATTTCTTGAGCCCATAAATTAATTACCATCAATAATTATCCACTTGTTACTTTGGTTACATATTAATATATCAGATATTAATATATTAATATATCAGAATTTGAATTAAATATCTAAAATATCTATAAACACCATGACAGATAACTCACACTAACAATAATTTCAAATAAAAAATAAAAAAAATTTTGTAAATTTGTTATACGTTTGATTATAAAATGTACATGTTTAGTTGCCAAAAAATCAATTTAATTTGTTCAGTAATTTGGACTAAACTGAGTTAGTTATAATGTGGGATGTGTTTCAATTATTCGTATTGTTACATTTAAATTTAATTAATTAAAGCTTGTTAAAGTATGCCAATATTAAACACATCAATTTACTTTTGATATCTTAATTGAAACAATTTATAGACATTCATTAATAGCAGCATATTTCATAAAACTAGATAAGTTAACTTGCAGTATTGAGAAACAGAAGAAGAACTGTCACATGCTAACCTACATCTGTCAAATTTACCACTAACATCTAATAGATAACATAAAAAACTCATTGTGCCAAAGACTGAGATGTAGTGCATAAAAGTCCTTCCCCTTTTAAATTTAATGTTTGTTTCGTCCCTTAATTGTTTTAATTAAATTGTCCTTAATTGTTTTAATTCTAATATTTTATTTACTCGACTTTGCAATATTTTACTATTTTGCCAATAGAACTTTATCAAATAAATTTGATAATTACAAGTTGAAAAATAATTGCATACCCACACAATTTGTACATCTAAACTGATTCATTGACATAAAACTGTCACCTTCATAAAACAATTACTCAATAAATAACACACATTTCATAAATATATCTCTCGAATAAGTATAAATAATTTTTAAATAATACAATGGTATATAACATCACTTTCATTTAACAAACAATCACACACATATCTCTGCTTCATTGGATCAAATATATCTCCTCAAGGACTTCCCGTTTACTGTCAAACAACTACAATAGCAGAATTGAGTTCTCCATTCAACAATACATAGTAGTTTTAACCATGTTCTACCATTCATCAATTAATAGAGTACCGGCATGTAAGTAATGTTTATCTATTTTCTCATTTATTAATTTATTATAATCTAATAGACTAGTTTATAATAATTTATGGGCCTTACCTTGTCTGTTTAAACTTTTAAAACTTTTTATACCTTTTGATTCAATTTACTCATTTTGAAATAAAACCACAGACATTTAATATTGGCATAATTATTGTAATTTACAACATTTAATTTGTTTATCTTTATTAGACAACACCCTAATATGGGTTTTTTATCATTTCAGCATTTATTTAACTTTGTATCAGGACCTGAAGATGCTTTGCATATTGTAGAAAGCGGAACCGGTCGTCTGATTGTTAAATTAAATCGATTGTGAGTGAGTCTTATTTATTATTTCTTTACATATTTGAAATGGACTCACACAAGCAACACATTTATGATTTGAACATTATTCTTTATTACTCTGGTAGTAGTACTGGTCATCACAAAAATGGAGTAGGAATCATGATTAAAAAAAAACCACAACCGTATGTATCTAACTTTATTCCCTATAATAAAAGAATAATAATGTTATAGTTGGAAACCTACGAAATAAACATAATTCAAATGTATGCCCCAACATCAAGCAACCCTGATAATGACATAGATTTATTCTATTCAGATTTACAAAATCTAACAAAAAACATAAAAAAATATGAAGTCAACATCACAATGGGTGACGGCAAAGTCGGTAAAGGAAAAGTAAAATATATTGTAGGGAATTATGGTCCAGGAACAAAAAAGGGAAGAGGAGATCGATTAGTACAATATTGTCAAGAGAAAAAAATTGTTCTCAAAAACACCTGTTATCAATTATCACCAAGGAGACTTAATACATGGAGTGCACTAGGAGACAAAAAAATAATCTGATAAGAAACCAAATCGACAAACATTCTCGTTGACAAAAGATTTAGAAATGGGATCAAAAGCGTGAAAACATATCCTAGTGCTAATGCAGACTCCGACCGCAATTTACTTCTTGCCAACGTTAACATTAAATTGAAAAAACAACAAAAAAAGTAAAATTAAGACTAGATTTGTCAAAGCTTGAGGGTGAAGATTGTAAACAACAAATAAATAAAGTAATTGCACAAGCATTCACAGAAGCCTCAAAAAAAGATATTAATCGTGTCTGGAACAAAATGTGGTTGCCAGTACTTAAACCTGGCAAAACGTATGTAGGTAGAAAATAACCAAGTACCAGAAAAGATTAAATGACACCAGATATTATAAAATAATAAAAGACAAACAAAAATATAGAAATACAAATAAAGAAAAATAAAAGCTAATGAAGAAGCTAGTAGAAACGCAGATTAAGAAAGCTAAATAACGGGTAGCGGGTAGGATCTCCGTTAGATAGATAGAGTCCGATAGAGTCCCTTGGATTCTATTGGATAGTTCTATCAGGGAAAGTGAATTAATATCTGCCCTTTGCAGAATCCAGGAGGTTGTTGACCTGGGAAGCTAGAATCTGTTAACGGTCCGTTGGCCAGGGTCACGGATGAAGTCCAGAATGGCATTCAAGGCGTCAAATAATATTTTTGGTGCGGCGAAGATGGCGGAGTTGGCAACCCCTAATTTCAGGGATAGTATAAGATCACAAACCTAGAAGCGTCTGACCTGGAGCGGGCGGCTTAAAACGGCGTCAGTACTCACAATGAACAGCTGAATTAAAAACTTACCAACACGCCTTGCCAGCGTGGTGTTTTAAGGCAAATACCTCCCAACAAAATGTCACATTATAAAACAAAAATGGTAATTGAGATGTCAAAAGTAAAATAGGATATCATTGGAGTCAGTGAAATACAGTACAGTTTAGGTAGTGAAACTGAATCAATCGGGACAGTCGGTTTCTTTATACATAAAAGACTTGCAGATAACATAGTAATTACAAGAAGCACATCCACAAGAGTGGATGATCCATATGATGATCCATGATTATCCATAATAATGAAAAGGTACACCGAACTATAGAAGAGAATAAAAGTCTGAAAGTCCTGTGAAGATGGCTAAACAAAAAAAAAATGTGAAATACACATACTAAACAACAAAGAATGAGTCCCCATATTAAATAGAGAAGGACTACTATACATAGTTAAAGACTTCTATCATCAACTATAAACAAGTCAAAGAGAAGACCAAACGATCTTGGAAGCCGCCGCATCACGCAAAATTATCAACCAGGGTTTAGAGCTCATGCCAGAGATCACAATAAGCGAAATCCAAGTAATGAAAAAGACGAAAAATAACAAAGCACCAGGAGAAGATGGAGTCGTAATAGAAGCCATAAAGATGGGCGGACGTGCTCTTGCAAGAGAAGAGCAAGCATCTTGCGCTTCTATTTCCCATTGTTGTACCTCAGTTCTAGATTAATCAGCTTCAACATCATCCTTTCATATTTTTCTCGGTCGGCCTACTGATCTTCTACCATCTGGTCTTTCAAAAAACACTGTTTTTAACACTCTGTCATCCTCCGACCGTACCACGTGACCTGTCCATCTTATTCGGTTTGCCTTGGTAAACTATATTTTCAGTTCCATACAGAGTCACCAATTCAGCATTGAGGCGTCTTCTCCAATCCACTGTGAATTCATCTTTTTGGGGGAAAATATTATTCTGAGAGCCTTTCTTTCAAATACCAGAAGATTATTGATTTCACTGCTTCACTACTGTTTCACTGCGATATGTAATAATTGGGCAAATAATCGACTTGTACAGTGTTAATTTAGATTTACTTTTTAGCAACTTCGATCTTTATAATGTTGATAGGGAGCATAATGCTCTATTTCAGAGCTGTCAGCTATGATTATCACCCCCGGTTATTTAATAGAGCAAAACGCAAATTTAATTATGCAAAATTGAAGAGGAATCAGACAAATATATCATCTACAACTCCAGAGGAATTATTTGCCAACGCCATAAGTACATGGACCAAGTCTCTTTAGAAATTGTATGGTAAAAACTTTTTGTACTAAAACGTGACTTTGCAGTCACGATCTTAGCATTGACCTTAGAGTTCGTATGACATCTTGCTACATCTTTCCTGTCCTGCTGTATAGAGTGGAAGCATGGACTCTAACTGAGGCTATGCTTAAACGCTTGACAGCCTTTGAGATGTGGGTATACAGACGAATACTAAAAATAAGCTGGGTCGACAGAGTTAGAAATGAGGAGGTCCTTAGACGGCTGAGCCAAAGAACACAACTGGTCAATATAATAAAGAAACGCAAGCTGAAATACTTCGGCCACATTATGAGACACCCTGAAAAATATGATCTTTTACATCTGATCATTCAGGGAAAGATCCAAGGTAATCGTGGTCCTGGTAGACGAAGAACATCATGGCTGAAAAATCTAAGGCTAATCTATGGGAAAATCAACTACATCGTTATTTAGAGCTGTTGTCAATAAAGTCACGATAGCAAATATGGTAGCCAACATGATATCCAACGATCGATAACGGTCATGGAACTAGAAGAAGAAGACTAAAACAAAGATGTCGCGTGTACACAAAAATTTTTGAGGGCAGTTTCCAAAGGTGCATAGGACCAAACAACCCCTTTAAAATCCATAAATTCATATATAATAAATTATTATAGTAAAAAATTAAAATTCTAAAAATACTTACAGATAGAAAAACAAATAGAAATACTATGATCCACATATTCCATTGTAATCGCATAACTAATGGTACACTAGAAGAAAGTTCGATTCAAAAACATGAATCGCTTGAGCATCTTCAAAGTATACTGTAAAAACACCAGAATATTCTTGATATTAAGTACGTTATCTAAGATAAAAGAAACACTTTTGTTTAGCAAAGACGTTTGTACAGGATTTATTGGTTATTTTTACTAAACACAACTATTGATGAACTACACTCTGGTAATTATAATGACCGTATGGCAAAATATTTTCGCATGTACTCAACTATCATTTCAAATTTAGCTCTGGTCGATGACGAAACATTTCTTAAAAGATTTTTTAAAAACACGGATTTCAAATATTTACAATTAACTTAGATATAGGGCTTAACGCGTAGTCAGGGTTCTTTGTTTTGGAGATCACTGTAAATAGACAAGATGCGAATTTATACTCTTGTTGCCATGTTTTAATTTATGAAAATATATTACTGCACTTTTATAATTTAGTACAGTAAAAACATACATTTTGAAATAATTTTCTGGTTTGTGCATTCGTCAATCTTCATTATTTTTAGGTCTGAAACATAAGTGCCGTACATTGGAGCTTGGAGCAGGTAAAACGATTCGTACCAAAAGCTGATAGAATGTGTGCAATTGGAATTAAAGGGAAAAAACATGATATTGCTGATAGATATAAATGCTTCAACAGAAGAAAAAGGAGAAGAAGTGCAAGATGAATTTTATGAAGAATTGGAGTCATTGTCTGAAGAAATGCCCAGACAAGATATTAAAAATGGGTCACATCTTAATACAAGAGAAATTCGCCAATTTAATAACAAATGTGAAAACGTGCAGAGGGGCTGACGTAGACTCTGATCATTTTTTGGTTAGAGTTGATATGAGAGAAACAATAATTAAAAAGCATAAAGGGAAAAAGAAAGTGCAACGTAAATTTCACTTTGAAAAACTGCGAAAATTTGAGGTAGTGCAGGATTATCAAATGGATATACAAGAAACCTACGTCAAACAAGATAGTACTACTTTGAGTAATATACAATAGAAGTTCTTGAAAATGACAAACACTATAAAAAAAGCAACGTCGAAAAACATACAAAAATATTTTGAAAAAACCACTGGTTTGATGACGAATGTACGAAAGTATATGGGTGATAAAGTAAAGCGTATTGAAAAAATTACAAGTAAAATGAAATCTAAAAATATTTTACTAAGGTGTACAATACATGAAAATTGGGTATCAGGGTAGAACAATGAATGTAAAAGATAAGCAAGGAAAACTGATAGTGGACAAAGACCAAATATGTGAAATAGTGAAATATGGAAATAATATTTCGAAGAGATGCTAAATGACGGAGTGACCACTGTAGAAAATTATAATGTTGCTAAACCACAAATAGTAATAGAATAAATACCAAAGCCTACAAGAAAAGAAACTGGAGAAATAATAAAAGATATGAAAAATTAAAAAAGCCCCAGGGAGAGTGCTGCATTATGGCAGAGAACTTAAAATATGGAATAGAGGCTTTAATAAAATAACCAAGTGAGCTAATACTAGAAGTGTGGGAGGCCAAAGAAATGCCTCAAGAATGGGACAAGTCTATTATAATACCTATAAACAAAAAGGGAGGTAGAACTGAATGCGCAAACTATAGAAGAATATAGGAGAATACCAGGGAGTATTTTGCAAGAGAAGATCAACAACCGATTAAATTTTTATGCTAAAACTAATCCTGATCAATTGCTATGAAACATTTCAGCACAAGTACTTTTCATTGATTACAAAGCCGCCTACGATACAATAGACAAAAACAAATTAATAGAAACGCTAAAAGAATTCCAAGTGCCAGGAAAAATAGTAAGATTGGTAAATATAACAATAAGACAAACCATTTGTGCTGTGAAATGCATCGGTACAATCTCAAAAAAATTTGAAGTAAAAAAAGGTGTTCGCCAAGAAAACCCGTTGTCTACATTGTTAATCAATACAGTTCTAGAAAAAAATGTAAGGGTTAGTGGGATAAATAGGTCCAGCACTCTTTTATACAAAGAGCACCAATGCTTAGCATACGATAATGATGTGGTTCTCATTGGAAGAAATGAAAAAGAACTCTCAAATATAGTAAATAGACTGATGCATGAAAGCTCTAAAATGGGACTAAAAGTTAATATTTATAAACCCCAGTACATGGAAATCTCGTGCAAAAAAGAAATAAATATTGGATGGATCATTTGTAGAATTCGAGAAGGTGAATGAATATGATGAACTTATGTACTCTTATTGATCAAACATGTAAGAAAGAAACTGAAATCAACCTGAGACTAACCAAGAGCAACAGGTGTGCTGGAGCCATGAGCAAAATAATTAAGGCCCAAGATATATCTTGTAATACAAAATTAAGAAATCATGAATGTGTTGCTTGTGTGAGTCCATTTCAAATAGGTAAAGAAATAATAAATAAAACTTACTCACAATCAATTTAATTTAACTATCAGACGACCGGTTTCGCTTTCTACAATATGCAAAGTATCTTCAGGTCTCGATACAAAGTTAAATAAATGCTGAAATGATAAAAACCCATATTAGGGTGTTGTCTAATAAAGATAAACGAATTAGATGTTGTAAATTACAATAATTATGCCAATATTACATGTCTGTGGTTTTATTTCAAAATGAGTAAGTTGAATAAAAAGGTATAAAAAGTTTTAAAAAATTTTTAACAGACTAGGTAAGACCCACAAATTGTTATAAAATAGTCTATTAGATTAGAGTATACAAAACTTTAATTAGACGCACAATGCAATACTGTATCTGATAAAGCAGCCCCTACAGCGACTTCCGATCGCTTTGTCCTCTTTCTCTGCTACTTCTAGCTTATGTCCAATGGTTGGTAATGGCCCTGAAATATTCTAATCAACGCCAGGATTAGAATAATGGAGCAACTGACTGCATACCCTTTCTCTAAATTCTACCACAGATAGTTTACGTTGATGGCTCTTATTATACAGAAATAATAAACTGACAACCGTTGTCCCCAGTAAAGTCTCAACAGTTATTGTAAGAATACGGGTCGCAAAGATCTTTAAAAGTTTTAGCTGCATTATAATCGACTACAGCTAGTAGTTTCTGTCGCTTACTTATTTCTACCATATTATTAGTGTGTATTGGAAAGATCGTGTATTGTACTAAAAATTAGAAAATGTCGTGGGTTCTTTTACTTGAATACTACTAGGGTTTGATTTTCCTTTTCATTTTTAATTGCATGTCCAAGATATATATATTGTTTTCCCTTTTCTATACTGATGTTATTTATCGTGATGTTTTCTATGCTGTTGCTTAATATCTTTGTTTTGTCGAGATTCATTTTTAATCCTACTTGATTCGATCTGTGATTTAAATCTTGTAATATTGACTTTAGTTCATGGATATCGGTGCTTATTAATACTATGTCGTCTGCGAAACGCAAATGGTTAAGATATACTTCATTTATTTTTAATCCATTTTCGGCCCAATTTAGATTTTTGAAGACATTTTCTAATGCCAAAGTAAATAACTTGAGTGAGATGGTATCGCCCTGTCTCATACCTTTGCCAAGGTCTATTTTCATAGTTTTCAGAGAATCATCTATTTTTACGTGAAAAGTAGTATCACCCTATATATTCTTAAGAAGGGCAGCATATCTTGAATCTACTCTGGCGTGGTCCAATCCTGTTAAGAAAGCCCATTTCTCGATACTGTCGAATGCTTTGTGATAATCGACAAATGCCAGATGTAGTGGTACATTGTACTCTATGGTTTTTTCAATATCTATCCGGATTGTTTGCAAGAAATAGATAGTGCTAAGACCCTTACGAAAGCCTATTTGCTCCACTGGTTGGTATGCATTTAGCTTAGCTGTCAGTCTATTTGTTATTATTCGGGTTAGTACTTTGTAAATGTGTAATAAAAAGCTTATTGGTGTAATGCTCTCATTGCCTCTTCTAATACAGTGCCTCTCATTTTTAGCATCTGTGAAATAATTTTAGCTTCTCCTGATGTTTTTCCATTTTTCATTTGGTTTAGGGCGGCTCTAATTTCTGATGTTATTATTTCATGGAGATCCTCTGAGATATGTTTTGTTGGTATACCGGGATTCGGAATGTAGAAGTATACAGCTTCTCATAAAATTTTCGGATTTCTCTAACGATTTCTTTCTTATGCGAGCACAATGTTCCACGGTCGTCTTTTATCTTTATGATTTTATTCCTGCCAGTGGATTTACATGTTTTAGTACTTTCATGTTCTTATTGTTCTCTATGGTTTCAAGAATCTGGTTTGTTCTATAAGCTCTGAGGTCTTTTCGAATATTTTTCTTAACGCTTCTGTTAAGCGCTTTATAGTTCGGGTTATCTGTGTTCGTTCTTCTTCTTTTCTCTATCTGTTCTAGAGTCTCGGGTTTTAGTTTAGCTTCTTTTCTTACTTGCTTTTTGTATTTTACAACAAAGTTTCTTAGTGACTATTTGTATGTCTTTAGTGATTTTCTCAGCTAGTTCATCTATATTGTTGTGCTCAAAGGTATTTGCTACTAGTTTCCGAGCTAATTCCTCTTGGTATTTCTCTTTATTACTGGCTAGGATGTCTGCCGTCGTTAAAGGGTTTGTTGTTAATAGTTTTTGTCTTTCTCTGTTTACGTTAATACGTATATCGGCACGAACTAGTCTATGGTCAGAGTATTATACAATCTGGTGTTCTATTCTTCGGTTAACCATGCAAGCCACTCCTCCTTGGCTGTGGTTCTCTCCTGAATTATATTGGTATAGAGTGTGCCCAACTTTTAGGGTGGTCTTTTTCTCTTCTTAAAGTCTCGTTTCACATAAGCTTACAATATCCCATTATATTATATACCAATACTATTATATACCAATATTATCATACGCTAGAGAAACCTGAATACTGGACAGAGTGAGAAGTGAAGAAATAAGAAAAAGCATTGGTCAAAGACCAATATTGACAAACATCAAAAAGAAACAAATGAAATAAAATGGTCACGTGGTAAGAATAGATCAAACCCGACTAATCTAGAGAATAATAGAAATGGGAAAATCAACAAAAAGAAGAAGAGGCAGACGACGAAAGAAATGGTTGGACCAAATAGAAGAATATGGAACGAAAAGAGGAAAAACCGTGGAGGAGATGAAGAAATTTACAAAGAAAAGAAGAGAGTGGAAAATTGATAAATGATAAATTATAATGACACTCTTTCATCCGAAAGGGTATGATGGAGAGCGTGAG